GTGGAAGAGATTTTTTGTCTCATTTGGAAATGGTGACTGGGAGGGAGCTGTAGTCCTACAGACCAGGCTTTTATCATGTAATGGCTCTGCCTCGTTCACAGAATTTTACAGGGAGGTCTGGTTATTGATGCCTTTTCTGTTTGTAACCTTGCCATTACATCCTTCTACCTCTTCCACATTTTTTTTAACCATCCCCTCAAAGAGGAAAAAACTGCAGTGTTTCGAAACTGATGGCCAGAAGACTTCCCTAGCTAGAAGCCCCCTAAGAATGAGAAAACGCTGATAGATGTGTAGTCACTTCTCTAAAAGAAAAAATACTAAACTAAAATACTAAACTAGGTGTCTCCCACGTGGTGGCTGACAGCTGTTTTGGGCTGTAACTCGTGTCAGATCCAGTTAACCTGACAAAAGGTGAGGAATCCTGGGATTTGAAGCCCAGACATCTGGAGGATGCTTATGTTGGGGAAGGCTGACATGGAGACATCTCTGCTGCGCTATTTAAGGGGCAGATACATGGAACAACTTTGGTGAAGTTTAATGCATGTTAAATATTGAAAGGAGAGGGAAAAAAATCCATGTGGCTCGAGATTCCTTCCTAGAGTGGGAAAGATACTCTAAAGACATGATCACAGCTCAGCTCTCCGGAAGGGGTGGCATCTTTTGCTGCTGCTTGAACACATCTGAAGTGCTTTGAATACCTCTGAAGACTGCTTAAGAAACCAGTGGCTTGTACACGGAACTCCTCGCATCTGACAAAAGCAGATTCAAATCCACTAGAATAACTCTGACGGTCTTTAAAAGCTACAAGACTACTTTCCCCCTGTTGTTCGACCTCTGTAAGACCCCTCTCCCCTGCCCCGGTTAATGGAGGGCTTCGAGCAGTCGCTCCTGCACCAGAGAGCAGCCCTAAACCAAGACCCAAAGGAAGAAAACCCTGAAATTCAAAGTCGTACATGGCAGGCGGAGCGGATGGGAAGAACAGCTCAGAAGCGCGACCATGGCAACTACGCCATGCCATTTCTCCCCAATTTTTCTGAGGCATCTCCTCTCCCCTTTTGCTGCCAATCATCCATCGACTAGGCTCACAAAGAGGGGAGCATGGGCAAGAAGGTGGCTGGTGGCAAAATGGAGGCAGGGACCCCTATTTTTAAAGTTTCTCAATGCAGAGGGAGCTAAACAAGCAAAATTTACCCCATCCTGGAAAATAGAAAAGTACACCAATAGATAGCAATCTTGACTAAAACCACAATTATTAATGCACAACCTTTTTACCCCCAGAGGTGGCTTGTTTCCCAAACCAAGAACACTAAGGGCCACCCCCCACACCCCCGGTGTAATTCTGTCCCATATGTCAGAGAATCCATACTGGACCACAAAAGAGCTGGAAGGATCTCCTTGTTCAGCTACAAAGCCCAACACATTAGCTTGTGCACGGATCTCTCTTTCCCCCTCCCTCTCCCTTATCCTTGTGTAAACTCCCTCCCAGGCCTGTCCTGAGGATAAAATGAGGTACTGTATTCTGCTTTGCAAAGGTGAGGGTGTGGGCCAAGGTAATAGGAAAGCTGCTGCTGCAGATGCAGGAAAAACAATAATCAGTACATAACAGAAGAGGAAAGCATAACAACGCACGTAAAAGAGTGGAGTCCTGAAGCACCCTCACTAAATCCGAAGCAACCAACGTTGCCAATCCAGCCGTTTCACAGTTTTTATTATATATACAGAGACACCCAGTGTGGTGTAGTGGATAGAGTGACAGACTAAGACTCGGGGGTGGTGGTGTCTGGGTTCAATTCCTCATTCACTGGGGAGTGCAACTGGTAAAATCACTTCTTCAATACTTCACTTACTTTGAAAGCCCTGTTAGGGATACTAAAAGCCACTTCCAACATGCAAGCACACACCAAAGAAATGACCCATACATCCAGCCTTTCTTTGATCCGTGAGACCTGGGCTCACCCCTGGCATTTTAGCCCCACAACCCCATTGGACATGACTAGTTAGTTGGCCATCCCTGTTCGAACCAAGACAATATGCGAGCCAGTAATGGAAGCAGAAGGGGGAGGCGTTTGCTCACATTGCTCGTCCTTGAACCATGATCTCTCTCTGGCCTGTGAAAGCTGGCAACCTATCAAAGCACTAAGAGAGTAGGGTGTCCAGCCATTACCAACGTTATTACGTGGCCTCCATCCGATAGATCATTATTGTGTGCCGGGTGGATCTGATTTAAATCAAGGTGGATACAAAAAATTCAATGATTGCATTTTTTTAAAAAAATCTGACGTAAAATTAAAAAAAAACATTATTTGATTTTTTGGGGGGGTAAAAAATCGTTGATTTATTCACCCTGCATTGATTTAAATCCAATCCACCCTGATTGTGGGACTGCAGCATGTTTCGTATTCTTGGTAAAAGGTTTGCAGTGCTTCTTTTTGCAAAGAGCAAGAAGAGATCGGCGTGTCTGGAGCAATGTGGTGGTGCTATAATGGCCACATGCCTCCTCCTGCCTGAGCAAAAAAATGCAACTGGAAATACAACTATTTAAATTAGCATAATTTTGTCCTAAGCAAAGGAGGAGAGCTCTAAATATAGGTCTGGAAGCTAAATATAGACGCTCCATCTATTGGGAAACCATGAAATCCAACAGCACAGAGGCCTACCAGTGCATGAACACTCAAATGTCTTATACCAACTTGTAAAGCGAGACAGGTCAATGAGGGGAATCATCTTCGCACCAACATGGACTCCAAACTCTGCAGCCCATAAGCCAGAGCACGGAGAATATCGCGATGAAACAACCTAGCAAGGCAGGCAGGCTGCGGTGACGGATCCCGCTGGGTCCACGAAAGATCAAAACAGTTCATGCCAAATGGCCCGGAACACAGTGGGAAGAAAGAGCCAGCTGACTGAAGTCGGTTAATTATGGGATTGAAGGATGAGATCCCAAAAGACCAAAGCAGACTGTTCAAAGACTTTAAACGGAACTAGGATCTTAAAAGGAATAGTTAAGGAATGAATCCAGAGACGACGACGGATGTTCTTCCAGGCCCTTATCGTCTCCTCTAAGCACTAACAGAATCCTTATCCTCTTAGCTGACATCCTGGCCTTGTAAAAGAAGCAGACTGTACCGGGGGGGGGGATGCAGCCCCACTCGCCCAGGCCAGGAAGAGATGCCGAGGCACACCTTGCCTGATTTCTTGGGATCTGAAGCTACACTCTTTCTTCCAGTTCTCCACTGCCTGTTCTAGGCTAAGAGAAGGCGGTTCACCCAAGAACCACATCAGTCCCAGAGATCGCTTAGTTTCTCCACTGCAGCATCAGCCTTGGCAGGATGAAGACACGGGTCCCAGGGTGTGCTGCAGTTCATGCCTCTCCTGGGGTCCTTTGGCCGGATAAAATGAGGGGCATCCTTTTCAGGAAGCCCTCAAAACAACACCAATATTCTCTTCGCCAAGCTGTGATCGGAGAAGCAGAACTTTGGGAAGAAAGGCATATCCCGAATAAGAAGATTGGTGCAACACATCCAGCAATGGTAAGAGAACGGCAGAAGCCACAAACCGACGCTTTGCCTGCCCAGTCCTCCTACAGCAGCAGTGCGGTCCCCTAAGAGCCGTGGTTCTCAGCCTCTGGCCCTCCAGGTGTGCTGGGCTTCTATTTCCCAGAACCCCTGGCCACAGCATCTGGAGTCTAAAGTCCAAAAAAGCTGGCAGGACCCACACATATTTAGCACTCGATCGGGCCAGTCCTCTCCAGTCTGGTGCCCCACCTATGCGCTGGACTACAACCGGCTTCGCCACGCATCCCAAGCCAGGTTTTCTCAAGGCGCGAACAAAAAGGCATTACGTTGCAAGGCACCAAACAGCGTAACCTGGGATGAATCAAATGCCAAGACAGAATAGCTCCTTTACATTCAGGAAGCTGACATGGTGCTCAAACGCTGCCTGGGAAATTCCAGGCTATGGCAGCTCTATCAGATTTGGCAGGTCTGTATCCAGGCAGAACAAATTCTGCACACTGCCCAGTTTACCCCAAAAGAAGAGCATTTACTGTACCTTAATATTCCCCACAGCCATGCTGGCCTGGATTAAAGGCGCTGTTTAATCCAGTGGTGAGGATCCTGCAGCCCAGGAATTACTTCATGGGTGGCTCCAAACGGTTATTTTATGACACACACACCCAGAAACCCCGAGCCCATTGTGTTTTCAGTTCACAATTAATATTTCCACTCCTGGAAGGCCTTAATTGTGGCAATTTTACTTTTCATGAGGTGCACCAGACCTTGTTGGCTCCAAAAAAAAGGGGTTTTACAACAGCGGAAGTGGATCTCTGTCCGTCTGCCCTTTCAGGTTTTGGAAGTGGGGCTCAGAAAATTGGTCCCTCTCAAACCTCCAGAGCCAGCCGGCCTCCTTCTAACTGAGTGTCTTGTTTCCCTACAGGGGCCGACCAGTTCTTTCAGGAATCCCAGAAAGATGTTATGAATTAAAGCGACTTCTGGAACTCCGCTCCCCAGCAAAGAGTACTGAGAAATCTCCTGCAGGGAGATGTAGCCGAGAACATGCGCAGAGACCAAGTTTCCCGGCCTTTTCGTCCCTCAGCCATGCAACTATCATCAAAGGTAAGGAGGCACGCTTGGTTTTTTTTTTCCTTCAAGAAAGCAACAAAGCTCTCGGGCTCCATCTGCAGGACCTGTTGTTAAAAAAACCCCATGTAAACAGACTGTGCTCTGGTCCGACACGACTAAACGACTAAACGACTAAACGAAACGAACGAATGAAACTGGTTCAAGAAGCCAGCCTGCCTCCTTTATCTGTGCAGCCTCGTGCAGCAAACCACTCACAAATGTGCTGCGCGTGAAGGCTTGCGCTCAGATGGGCATCCACCATGTGCAGCCTCGTGCAGCAAACCACTCACAGATGTGCTGCGTGTGGCCCTCCATGAAGGCTTGCGCTCAGATGGGCACCCACCGAACAGGAGGCGATGCACCCCACCCCAACACCAGGACTGTCTTTGCACAATGGATATTTATTTTGAAACAACAGTGTCTCCCAATAAATTATACTGTTTAAAAAAAAAACAGAAAGAGGGAAGGAGGAAGAGAAGGGGGAACAGAGAGAGAGAGAGAGGGAGAGGAAAGGGGGGAAAGGAAGGGAGAGCAAAGAGTACAGGAATCCAGAACAGACCACCAGACAGACAAAACTTGTAGAACAGGGAGGGGTGGTGGTGTTGGGGCAGCCCCCCACAGGGCTGTCTGGGGCTCCGCTCCCAGATTATGGCTCCTCTTCCTCCTCAGCTGCCCCCCTTTCTCCGTTTCCTCCACCCTCTTTAGACAGTGCTTAGTGTTTCCTGAAGAACTGAGGCCCCACAGAAGAGAAAGACGAGAAGAGCCGCACCTTCGCCTTGGCCGAACCGAGAGGGGGATCTGAACATTGCACGGAGGGGGCTAAGAGGGCCTCCCCCTTCTCAACGGGGAACCAAGGATCAAAAGTCCAAGAAAGGCCCAGCAGCTTCCTCTCTCTCCCAGGCGGCTCGAACGAATGCTCAGCGGAGGCACACCGGAGGGAGGACATCGCCACGGCAGCTGGACGGTGGGGGAACAGCCAGCAAGTCCCCCGGTGATGTCCAGCAAACTGCCTGCCCCACCCTGCGGCTTTGGAGCGACTCGGGAGTAGAGCAGGTGAGGAGCCAGTTGCACCAAGGGAGAAAACGGGCACAGAGGAAGCTCAGGAAAGAGCGGTGGGAAAATGGGAAGAGACCACCTCCTCTCTGCAGTGAACGTGCCAGAGAACAGAGACCCGGTCGGTCCGCCCCGTCGTCTTCTCTCAACCGTCCTCCTCCTCCTCCACGCAGGGCTTGCGTAGAGCCCAAGTCCTGGCGCCTCTTAGTAGTCCTCTGCTCCCAGCAGGAAGCCCAGGAGGAAGCCGATGGCATGCTGGCGATCCTGCGGGGTTTGCTTCGCCTGAACGTTTGGCGGCGGCCGCAAGAGAAGGCTGGCGAAGAGGGTGGCTGCAGGGGAGCAGATGTCGTCGGCACGTGAGAGACGCAGGAGACGGGGGCAACAGGGAAAGAGGGGTTGAAATGGGGAGAGCGGGGGGGGGGCTGCCGGTCTGCCGGGCTAGCGCTTACCTAGCATGTTGGCACTGACGTTGTTGCTCTCGGAGTATTTCAGCAGTTCGCGCAGGAAGGCCATCACGTAGCGGAAGACGTTCCGATGGGACCGTGGCAATTGGCAAATCACCTGCAGGGAGCAATCATGACGGAGTCTCTATGTACGAATGTGAGAAGCTGTCTTATGTGGTGGTACACCTGTTAGCCTGTCTAGTGGAGTGCTTTCCAATGGGAGCAAGCCTTCCAAATTTCTGGAGGTTTTTGTAGTCCTTCCTGGGGATGTGGAGAACTGAACCCGGGACCTTCAGCTTACAAAACAGGGGCTTCACCACTGACCCCCATGAAACTTTGCAGAGGGAAAGGAGGCACTGCTCACTTGTAGAGCTATGACTTTGCATGCACGTAAGTTCTAGCTTTTCACAACCCCCCCCCCCAAGTAATAACCAGGTTGGTAAGCCAGCTCTGCCTGGGAAGCTGCCACCTGCTGAGGTCAACATGAGACAGGTAAGAGAGGTCATTGTTACCCCTACATGTGAAACAACAGAACAATAACAATAACCAACTAAAGAGGGAGGAAAAGGAGTTAATTGCTATTATGGTCACTGGGGCAAGGCTGTTATTTGCAAAGAACTGGAAAATCAATTGCCAACTGAAGATGGAGGAATGGGATAAAGAAATGTGGAATTAACCTGTGAAATCAAGATTAGAAAAGGAACATTGACATGTAATGATTTAAAAAAAATGTGGAATTTCATTTTTGATATGCGCCTTTCAGAAAGGAAAAGGGTATACACCTGGAGAAGAATCCATGCATTTTGGAGAGAAATGGGGCAGTATGAAATATAATGAAAAATAAAAATGCAAACTAGTCCCCGGGGCGGGGGGAAGGGGAGTTACAGGTTTAATAGCTGTGGTTTTGTTTATTTTAAAGTTCACTTTTAGTAGTGCTCTGTACAATTTGTTGTTGTTTTCTATTGTTTGAAAATTAAGAGAAACGTTTAAAAAACAACAACACAACAGAATGTTTAGGAGGTCTTCTTCAAAGGAGGACCGGGGAGTCTTTCTGGCCTGCAGGCTATAAAGATACGATAACGGAGCTAAGTAACATACCTACACAGTACATAACGGAACCAAGACATTTACGACCACTTTGAGGGCCATCACTTTGGGCTGGTTTAAAAGAGGTTTGCACTTATTCACGGAGGAACAAGGATACTAATCATGATGGGCTATCATGTTAGCTCCAGGACTGGAGGACGTCTGTCTCCAAACAGTAGTTCCTGGGCAACCCAACAGGGAGAGAGGACTTTTTTCCACTCCTGGGCTTTCCCTTAGGTTAGTAACTGGGGAAATAGGATGCTGGACCAGACCTGTGGTCTGGAACCAGGACGGTTATCCTTCATGTTCTTCTCCGTACACACTCAGCCCTCCTGGATGGCAGGGGAAGCAGAGAGCAGTTGAACACAGCAGGAATAAGGCAAATTGGGGGGGGGGAATCCCAACAGCAACTCACTGCGCAAAGCGCTCCTGGCACCCTTCCCCTCCCTGCCTCTCCCTCCCCGCTTTAGGACACTTCTCTGCGGCCCTGTGCCATCTGCACACCGAGAACTGAGTAACTCTGGGCTTTGATCTTTTCAAAACAAGAGCAAAGGTAACTCTTGTGTTTTCAAAATTCACCTTCTTGGTTTTAATTAGGTAGCCTCTGATCTTATCACATTAAACGAGGGGCTAATCTAATTGAGCTGCCTAACCCTCTCCCATTCCATTTTAAATCCATTGCTATTTAATATCAGAGGGGTTTTTCCCCTCTAAATTCCTTTAAATCATGCTTTTCTTGTGGCTCCTAAAACAGCATTTAGCCTGACAAAGAATTCTGACACCTTTCTCGGTGACCCTTTTGCGCATCTCAATAGATACCCTGTCCTCCTGTTAATACACATGCTCCTTGCGATCTGTTTTCAATCTGGATCTAGCTACTTACTGGATTTAGCCCCTTGCTTAAAGTACCCAGCTCGCTGGCATGGCAGCAATGTGTAGCCCCCTGTCCTCCTGTTAATACACATGCTCCTTGTGATCTGATTTCAATCTGGATCTAGCTACTTTCTGGATTTAGCCCCTTGCTTAAAGTACTCAGCTCGCTGGCATGGGAGCAATGTGTAGCCCCCATAATTAAATCATAAACGGCCCAGAGAGTGCTATAAGTGCTAGGGGAAGGTATATAGGCAGCAGACTTTGCTTTTACCCTCTCTGCATCTGGAGAGAGTTCAGGCTTGCCGTGATCTAGGTCCCACCTGTTTGTCTTTCTGGCAGGCCATGGCATCTGCCAGGCATAAGACTTTTTGGTTCCTTGAACTTCCACTTCCACAATTCGCCAAGTAGTGCCCAAGCAAAGTTTCAGGAGATGCAGCCGGCCCCAACCAGTGTTCTGGTTTTCATGTTTTTTGTTTTAAACAAAAGGAAACTGCCCCAGGGCTCCTTAGGAGAGACACAAGAGTGCCTAGGAGGGGTACATCTTTGCGGGGGGTCCCCACTGCAGAGCCTAATGGGCAGCAAGCCCACACCTTCCTGGGAGGCAGGGCACCCTGAAAACTAAAATAAGGGCAACTGTGCTAAGGAAATACAATGCTTCTGTAAAATAGGGTCACTGCTTTGCAGCTTGTTTTTTGCAAAAAGCCAGAAAAAATGTGTTGTCTTTTTTTTTTTAAGAACCTGGAACTAATTCCCAGTCATTTCTGGGTTTTAATTTTCAATGCATTTTGCCTCCAGTGAGGTTGGGGCGTCCTGGCAGAAAGTGGCAGAGATTTACGTTGCCCTCCCTATATGCTGTGACCCATACAGAGCTCCACGCCTTGCTACAAAGTCATCACTGGAGAGAGCCTTTGCTGTCATCAGGGCTGCTCTTAGGAGAGCCAGCCTTTCCACCTGGAAATGCACCTTTCCCCCTACCCATTTCTGGAAGCAGGCGAGCAACCCAGGCTGATCCAGGGGTGTGTGTGTGTTCTGTTCTGGGGCTTACCTGTCGGCAGAGGCGACTGTCGTGTGAGCAGTCAAGGCAACGTTGATACAGCTCATAGCAGATGACCGGTTCGGGCAGAGCCTCCAAGAAGATGAGCAGAGCTTCGGCCACAGAGTGGTTGCTGCCAGCTAAGGGGCCCTGGTTAAGGAGGGTCAGTTTGCTGCCAAGCTGCCCCTATGCTTCTTCCCCCAGGCTGGTTTCACGCAGGAAGCTCTTTTTAAAACCCTTCCGGCGCATTTCAAAGGCTCCACCCTTCGCTCGCCGGTGCCTTCTGAGCAGAGGAAACTGGGCGCTTCACGCACTCGGGAAGCTGGAAGCAGGACAAGAGAGCCCAAGAGGCAGTCTGTGTGTTTCACCCCCCACCCCACCGGCTCTGTCCGCTCTTATTGCTAGGCTCAATCAGTAGGAAAACAAATAAGCCCGCTTCCCAAGGAGCTACCAGCCCACTCACTTGACCTTCCAACTGATGAAAGATTTTCATTCTGGTTCCTAGTGAGACGGAATTTACAGGAAAGTGCCTTAGGTGAGGGCTGGGGAAGTAACTGTCTATTCCCTCAGAATTGGTTGGGACCAACACAAGGGGCAGTCCAATGGCATCTGGGGTGGCCGAAGGAGCCCCACCTTAGCCTTAGTTATTTTGGAAAGCCTGCAAGGGCAGGCAGAGACATATTGTCAATGTCTGCTCCCAGCTCTGGCATCTCTCCAGAGGACCCCCTGACAATAAAGGCAGCCAAACTGCAAGAGTTCCCTCTTTTAAACGAAGGCAAGATGTCCACACATGTCTCTGAGCATAGCTGTTCGCATTTTACAATATGGGGGTTCATCTTGGAACCTGCTCCAAAGCCTAAAGGACAGAGTGGCCACGGAGCCTTGGCCACCAGGGAAAAAGACAAGGGAGGCTGGTTTTCGTTTCACTCAAAGGATACGGATCGTCTCAGGAATGCTGGTGTCGAGACACTCAATGATTTCCTGCAGCTCCTCCTGCATGCCAGGCGTCTGGAAGAGGTCTTCCTACAAAGGAGATGCACAAGGAAACATAAGAAGCTTGTTCTGGGCAAAGGTAGGAAAAGAAAAAATGGGAAGAGATTGTGGAGGAGGATGGTTAAGCCTTTTCAAGTTCATGCCTGCTGCTCGGACTGGGCAGAGGAAGGAATTAACTCCTTCCTGGGCGGCTCCTTCCCACGGGCAGAGAAAGTAATCTCTGCCCCAGCACAGTCAGCATCCGGAGTGGGGCACATACAGAGTACAGTGTATGCTCATAAACACGTGCATAATATACAAAGTGAGAAATTCAGATATCGGCATGTGGTCAAACACATTTTTCTCTCTTAATGGAATGCATTGCAAGCTAAGGAACAGAGGGGTTTTTGATTGCAAATCAATGGTATCTGGGAGTTGCAAATGGGATAAATCTATTTTTTTCATCAAATACCAGATACCATTGATTTGCAATCAAAAATCCGTCTGTTCCTTAGCTTGCAATGCATTCCCTGAAAGAGAGAAAAATGTGTTAGACCACACGCAGATACCGTGTTTCCCCGAAAATAAGACAGGGTCTTATATTAATTTTTGCTCCAAAAAATTCATAAGGCGTTGTATTTTACAGTCATATCATCTTCTGGTTGCTGCACAATGGCGGAGGGTGGGATTTCAGTTAACTAGGGCTTATTTTTGAAGTAGGGCTTATATTACAAGCATCCTGAAAAATCATACTAGGGCTTATTTTCAGGTTATGTCTTATTTTTAAGGAAACATGGTATCTGAAAAAGTGCAAAGAAAGATGCAACAAATTGCAGCTGCTTGCAAACATACCTTGGTGAAAGGGTGTGTGCAGTAAGCTCTGGACACTTTAGAACCACACAAAAATGCATAGATTAGGCACACATGCAAAAGAATGTCCCTAAATTGATCTCCAGGGACTGGAGAAAGCTCATGTGGCCCTCGGATGAAATGGGCTTTGTGGTCAAGACTGGAGAATCTCAGCATGCTGGAGTTTAATTTCCACACGCCACCCCACCCTGCCTGCCCTACTGCCTATGTAAGGGCTGGCCCAGGGCGGCTCTTAACCAAAAGGGCCTGCAAGGATGGAGGATTCACGCCCACCCAATTCTCTACAAGAAAATGTAGGGCACTGCAGAGATGGCCCTGCATCACAAGCCATCCGCTCCTCCCTCCTCCTATGATGATCCTTACGTCATGGTTATCTTGAACTTTGGGAGATGCAAGCCCTTCCTCTGATCAGATTGGGAACAGAAACGGGCAGATCTAGTCCCAGGGATGGATGTGGTTTTAAATGTGCCTTTTTCCTTAAGATGTGGCTGGATATCTCTGTAGGTCTTCTAAGGAGGTGCCCATGCAAGCCCTCTGTGCATCTTCTCTTTAAGGCCAAGAGCAATTGGCAAAAGCGAGCCAGCTAAGAAAAACGGTGAAGTTGGGAGCGGCTCCTGAGAACGCACAAGTCCCCAAAGAAGGTGCTCTTCCTGCCGAACCCGTCTCGCTTCGGGCACTGCTTGTCCTCTGTTTGGAGCGGCCCCGGCTTCCCCTCCCCCTCCCCACTCACCTGATGGCAAGCATTCTTGAAGAGGTGGTCCACCAAGAGCCAGATCTCCTTAGGGACGTGCAAAGGTCGCTCCCCGGAGTCTTCGCTGTCCTGGGGCACCATGTCCAAGAGGGACTTCTCCTGCCGCCCAAAGACAAAGGAGGTTGGCCTTGGAGCCCGTGGGTCTCACTCAGTAGACGGTCAGCTAGCTGTGTTCATGTCCACTCTTCCCTCAGAGAGCCAACAGGGGCCTTAGAAAAGATCAGAACCTCCCCGTGCACCTTCACCCTCTATTACAGGAATGGGGAATGTGTGGTTGCACTGCCTCTCCCATCATCCCTCTGCAAGGTGAGGGTGATGGGAGTTGCAGTCCAATATTATCTCTAAGGCAACATATTACTCACTTCTGCATTAATATTCATCTGGTGTCCCTGTTCCATTCCCTCGCCCACCTACAATCTTCTCTTCCCCAGGGATATATACATTCCTTCTCTTCGTTAGTTTAGGAAAGAAGCCACTTTGGATGTGGGGGTCCATCTTTAACAGGCTACCACAGAGGCAGTGATGCAAAACTGAGCCTGGATCAGTAGCAGGCCATGGAGCCAGCAGAAAGCAGGGTTGGTCTTTTATACATAAAAGTCATTTCTTTATTGCCTTTTGATCCTGGCATGGGCCGCTAAGGATTTCTATAATGTGAGATGGGCACTTTCATGCCCCTTCGACACAAGCTGGCTGTGTGGCAGCTTTGTGTTCCCTGTCCCCATCCCTCGCCAAGGCCTCCACTCACCAGCCAGCAGGTGTTGCTCCTTCCCCTCCCCATCACATGATCTTCCAATCTGTGCAGGAGCCTGGACTCCCCTTCTCTGCCTCCTCCAGCAGCTGGCCACTCAGACGAGGAGGTGGGCAGGGATTCTTGCAGCGCTGCCTTCGAGTGGCCAGTTGCTGGAGGCGGGAGAGAAGGGAAGTCCAGGCTCCTGCCTGGACTAGAAGATCGCATGACAGGGAAGGCGGGAGAGAAGGGAAGTCCAGGCTCCTTCCTGGACTAGAAGATCGCATGACAGGGGGCAGGGGAGAAGGAGTAACACAGGCTGGCTGGTGAGTGGAAGTGTTGGCGAGGGGGGGCAGAGAATGCACGGCAGCACAGCTGCCACGCAGTCGACTTATGACAAAGAAGCACAAAACACTTTGTGCCCATCTCTATTTGCACTTAAACATACAAAATGGAATTAAGGAATATCAGTACCCTTGAACAAAAACTGTCCTTCTCTTTTTCCTCACTGTTATTTGGAGCGATCAGCTCTATCTCAAGCAAGAGTATTCAAATAATGAGTGAAAACAAAGAAGAGGACAGAAGGGAAAGAGGAAGGAAGAGAATTATTATTGCCATCAAGGATGGAGAAGGTGCAGCCCTCCACGTGCTGGTGGACTGCAGTTCCCATCATGCCCCACCATTGCTAGGCTGGCTAGAGCTATGGGGAGCTACAGCTCAAAAACGTCTCCGACACTCCCGTCGTCAGTGCTGTCTAAGGACTCATCCTGTGCAAAGAAATACCGCTGAACATGGGGGGCAGAGAAACAAAGAGGAAACAGGCTTCCGCAGCACCTGCTTGCTGTTAAACTGGGCTGCCAACTACCTGGCAGAAAACTCTTCCGCGAACCATGACAGAAAACATGGCATGGCCTGTTACCTTTTCTAGGAAGCTGTCCTCGCCCTGAGACCAGAGTGGGAAGGCAGAAGCAGAAGAGAAAGAGAGGGAAAAAGAAATAATGAAGGTGTGTCACTAGCCGAGGAGCTAAAAGAAACACCTCATGCGCTGGGAAGGAAGCCGCCAGAGGGCGGAACAGATGCCTCTAGGCACATACAGAGTTTAGTGGTCATTTCAGGCGAATTGGTTGCTGAAAGGGCAGAAGGGAACCGAATACTGGATAACTCAATGGAGGGGAACCGCCAGCCGCCAGACAAGGGTCTGGAATCGGGTAAGTGCAGAATTGCAGACGCCGATTTGGAGGAAAAGGGCCTTGCGGAACGGGCCGAGAGAAAAAGGCAGCTGCTCCCTAAACCGGCGGGTTAAACCTGGGGTGAGTTCAGGTACCGTACCACCAACCCCAGGGAACCCCTTCCGCTTCCTACCAGATCGATCAGCCGTGTGACGGGGACTTCACGGATGGGCCGCCTCATCCGGCAGAGGGCCTCCAAGGAGGTCCCGAAGCAGCTGGGCAGGTAGCTGCCCGTGATGGTGAGGAAGTAATCCTTGCCACGGTCCAGGTGAAGAACGAGGATGTCCTCAATCTTGTCCTCCCCAGAATTGAGCAGCGTCACCGAGTCCTTGCTGACGTACACGTCGAGGGAGATGTCGATCGTCTCGTCTGGAGCGGGAGGAGAGCACGGAGACTTTGAAACAGACAAGATGGGCTCTAAGGAGAAGCCCCTCCCCAAATCTCTCGGAAACACTTCCATTTATGAAGAACGGCATTACTGAATCGTTTCAAGAACTGGAAAGGTGCCCCCTCTGCCTCTTTCACCCCAGTATCTCCAAAGCAGGAGCCATTCAGAACCCATGCTAAGAAACAGAATGCACACTATCCAATGCGAAGTTTACTTCGTGGACTGCAATTCCCAGAACCCCAGGCCAACATGACTTGTGAGGAGGTCCAGCCATGCCAGCCTTAAAATGCAACCTTACCAAGCTCTTCCTCTGGCTGAGTCTCAAGAAGGACTTGCCTTAAAAAATGGAACCTCTTTAGGATTGCAAGCAGCAGCCATTTAACACCAGATGGCCCTGGGGAAGAGGGGTCATGGACTCCCCTTCTCCGCCTCCTCCAGCAGCTGGCCACTCAGAGGAGGAGGTGGGCAGGGATTCCTGCAGCGCTGCCTTTGAGTGGCCAGTTGCTGGAGGAGGCAGAGAAGGAGCACAAGAGGACATTTAGATGAGTGGAAGGCTCCTTGTTCCTCTAGAAATTTGGAGCCACACTTTTAAGATACTAGATTCCTGGTCAAATACAAAGAGTGAACACCAGAAGGAGAGACAGATTCCAAAAGATTCCTGGAGACTCACTTGGCTCTAAGTAGCCCTCACAGGGTTCAGCACGAAGCCAGGGCTTGCAATACTGGCTGTCGTTGAGCTTGGGGATGAAGGAGAAATGGCACGTCACTTGTCCGTTGTTGGTGATCTGGAACTTCTCCTTCTGCAGCTGCCGGAACTTCGTATTCTCGAATGAGAACTGCAGGCCAAAAGGAGATGAAGAGAAAGGCTTTTGAGCAGTTGATAAGGAGATGTGTTGGGTTTGGGGGGATCAAGATTTTGTTCCCCACCCACAAAGTTCTTGTTGACTACAACTCCCAAAATTCCCCAACAGCCATACCGTCTGGGGATTCTGGGAGCTGGACTCCCAAGAGAAGAACTTTTCTAAACTCTGCTCCAACAGCATGGAGGTACAGAATACACACGTGATGTACAGTAAGACCCCCGTATCTGTGAGATACTGATCTGCGGTTTCACTTATCCATGGTCTGAAAATATTAAATATATGAAAGGGAAAAAAAATCCAAAATATGTATTCTTCCCCAAGAATACATAGCATGGTCTCTGGTTGCCTCCGGCAGCCAGGTCTTGGTAGTACATCATGAAAATGCTTTTTTTCTGGATTTTTTTCTTTTCCCATGCTATGCATAGTGTTTGCAATTATCCACGGTTTTCAGCAATCCCCCATAGATATGGGGGTCCTGCTGTATTCAAATTGCTGGGACTTTCAAGCACTGGGAGTCAGAGGACGTAAGCGCTGTCTTTCTGGCAATTCAGAAGAAGTGGAAGAAGAATCTGTGACTCTTACCTCTCTTCTGCTCAGCTCCAGTGATGGGAGGAAGTCGTTCTCCATCCTGTCCATCATCCGTACAATATCCTCAAACACTTTCCGATATCGCCGTTCATCCACAACCTTCACCTATGGGGGAAAAGGTTACAATTTTTAGCTTTAAAAAAAGACTGGCAACAAGAACCGAGACGTTTGAGGACTCCCCGTTTGCAACTCTGAAGGAGGCAAATAGTTCTTTTGCCAGGTGGTGCCCAGCACCAGCTAAGAGCACAATGTTGGCTTGCCGATATGTTTGGCAAAAGCCAGCTGCTCCACACTAAGCAACCCACTTTCTAGGGAAGAATTCAGGCAACCTAAATAGGTCTCTTTTGCCAAAATGTTCTTTTTTTAAAAGGATGTCATGAATACACACAGAGGGTAATGGAGCCAAGATTTGCCTGCTCCTTGCATGGATATCTCTGATGAGAAATACTGCAGAGAAGGGTGGCTGCTTGTGATGGATGCCTTCTTGATACCGAAGGTCCACTCAGCTTCAAGAAGATGCCATCCACTAACACCAAAGAGTGCTCCTAGGCTCTGGCATTTCCTACCAAGAGGGACCAGCAAAGTAGGCCAGGTGGATTCCCTCTCTGCTCTCCCTCTATTGGCAAATAAACCCCTTTTCGCTCAGAAAGCTCCTGCCAACTGACCAGCTGCCAAGCTCTAGGCTTGATGCCAGTTGGGTGCCTGATTTTCATTACAGCCGTGCCTTTCGATGGACGCTTGCTTTGAGCAAGCTGTATAGTCCCAGAGCACTCGAGAAGGACGGACGAGTCAGCCACTCCATACCCTACTTTTAGAAAAACCTGGGAGGCTTGTCATCAAGTTGGAAGTGACTTGATGGCACATAATACAATTTAATTTTTAAATGATCGTTTAAGTTGGGATTTTAAGTTAATTCTGTTTTCATAACTGATTTTGCTTTGGATTTTAACTGATATTACTGAGAGCCACCCTGAGTCTGATTTTTGGGAGAAACGTAAGATATCCATCAATTACAAATACAGCAAGACTGCTGTATCTACACGACCAATGCCCATGGTTTCACTTATCCACTGCCTGAAAATATTAAACAACCTTGCCTTCCCAGAAATGCACATTTACAAGGTGTATTGCCAGAACCAGTCATTAGGGGGAGCCAAAGACATAGCATTTCTATACCCAAACTTTTTAGCATCCACGCGGGTGGGGGCTTGGAACTGATTCCCCCCTGCCATACTATAGCCCTACTGTAAACTGCTGAACAAGATAATTGACAGCAGCCCTGGGCAGAAAGAGAGTTACCCCTATGAGGAAGAGGCTGCTGACGGGCTTGTGGTCGCTTGTTTTTAACTCCATGTGGCTGCCGTAGTAGAGCTGGTTGATGCTGCCTCCCCTCCAAAGGATTCGGTCACACCAGGCAGGCACCCGGCACTTCCCACTGCACGAGAGACATGAGAGAAACACTTACTGCCTTGCGCCACATTGCCTCTTCTCTCAATTATATTCTAGGAAAAGTGGAAAAGTTAACTTTTTTTCAGCTACTAGCCTCACCATCTCACACACAACAAACTAACTAGCCCCTCAAGACAACATTTCAGTGCTCTGGCTGTTCTACTTCATGGGACCCGTCCTTTTCAATTCACCCCACAGGCAGATTTCTCCAAACTGGTGCCTTCCAAGCATGACGTACTATGACATTCATCTGATGCAGACCTGGGCAAAGTGCGGCCCGAGGGCTGCATTCGGCCCACAAGCCGTTCCTGTCTGGCCCGCGGACAGTTTTGAACATCAAAACCATTTATAGCTTTTTGTCTAAAGTTGATCAGCTGCTTATCTTTAACATACCGCAAAAAACCTCTATAGTATTTGTGAAGATTAACAACTTTAAAATGAAAACAATCATAACATCACTGTTTCATTTTATTTTTAAGTAAAGTTTGTTCGGCCCCCGAACACAGTTCAGATTTTTCATGTGCCCCCCCCTATAGAAATTAATTGACTACCCCTGAGAAGGTGGCCAGGGGAAAAAAATTCTCTCTTTCTCTCTTTTTTTGGGAGGGGGGGAACTTCAGCTCCTGGAGCTTTTCCAAACTCCGGGCAGAACTAGTTTTGCTGCCTACTCTGCTCAAAAATAACAAATACCAGCTTCTTAACCAAGAGTGACAAAATCTGCATGTTGCACAAATCCTATTTATCCACGAAGCTGACCTGTTAGGGAGCTGCTTACCTGGAATCCCAGCGATCTGTTTTTGAGTCGTATTTGTATGTGGGGATGAACCTGATCTCTCCTTCCGTAAAATCGGCAAAAGCTGTTTTTTGAGTACGCTGGATATTCAGCTGGAGGCAAAATCGACAACCTATCAGCGCAGCAGCAGAGCCCCCAAAACCGTCAAGACAGGAGAGAACTTGGAAAGGTTTTCTTTTTAATGACAACTCCTTGTATTTTCCATCAGTACAGTCCCTGGCCATGGTGACTGAGGGATTCTGGGAGTTTGCAGTCCAAGCAACTCATTTTTCCACATTCCTGGCACACTCGCGGACAGTGCCATGCTAGACACCAAAGCAGAGTACTAATATCTGGATCACATGACTGGCTGGCCAGCACACATGCGCGTGCACACATGTGCGCACCCCACAGCCAGCACCTGCATCAGACTGCCCCTGCAAGTAGGAAATCCAAACCGTTTCAGCTAACCTCAGCTGGGGACACAGCAGGTAAGGTGAGCAGGAAAAGCACTAAAATGTCAGCTTTGGGGAGAATTCTGAAAGAAACCCTCGAGCATGGTGCGCTTTCAAGGAGCCTCTTGCAACTCCTTTCCAGGTGTTCCTTGCAGGTTTTGAAGAGCCCTGTTCTAAAAGCCGGCCAGTTTATGGAATGTGGTATGCACAAATGTCACTATCGACAAGAGATTCAGTTGGAAATTATACTTTGAGACAGAGACATGAGGTATGCACAAATGTCACTATCGACAAGAGGTTCAGTTGGAAATTATTTGAGACAGAGACATGGGGGAGAGACACTGAATGTCAAAGAACATGCAAATATTTATTGGAAATGTAAATGTAAAGAGGATCTGGTCTACCAATGGTCACTACATCAGAGATGACACCTTGGAACGATGAACAACAATAAAATGTTCACCTTCCTTTACTTTCTTATCATACATTAGCTAGCCCCTCTTCTCTAACTCAGTGGTCCCCAACCTTGGGCCTCCAGATGTTCCTGGACTGCAACTCCCAGAAGCCTTCACCACCATCTCTGCTGGCCAGGATTTCTGGGAGTTGAAGTCTAAGAACATCTGGAGGCCCAAGGTTGGGGACCACTGCTCTAACTGACTGACTTTCCCATCTGACCCCGTGGAGCCTCGTGGCGCAGTGGTTAAGCTGCTGTACTGCAGCCAAAACTGTGCTCATGACCTGGGGTTCAATCCCAGGTAGCTGGCTCAAGATTGACTTAGCCTTCTATCCTTCCGAGGTCTGCAAAAAGGGAAACCCAGCTCGCTGGGGGGGCAATGTGTAGCCTGCATAATTAACTTGTAAACTGCCCAGAGAATGCTTGAAGCGCTATGGGGCAGTATATAAGCAGCACACTTTGCTTTTGCTTTGACCCTCCGATGTCTGCCCAGCTTTTGACTGCTTATCATGTTTCTATCCTCACCAAAATGGCAGAGATCTTCAAACAGTGTCCTGCATCAAAGCTGAGAATATTTTTATCTAGCCCTTTACTTAACTCTGCACAGACAGGTGTTGTTTCAACCAAGGCTGGTCTATTAAGTGGATGAATCCCTGGTCTGAAACCCATATCTTTCATAATAAAGTGGTAATTTTGATAAAAATGTGGATTCTTAAGAAACGAGCAAAGTTATTAGATCATGAATTTAATGGATGCTTTGATATGTGCATAGGAAAAGGTTTATGGTCTGATGAGATGCTTGGGACCCTTTTGTACACTCTGCAGGGATTTAAAAAGTTCGACACTGGCTGGGCTAAGGCATTATGCATGTGGCCAAAAGGCATAAATCCAGCCTGAGTTTCACCATGAGCTTCAGTCATCCTTAGTCCTTGTTTCCTAGCAACAGCTAGGGGAGAGAATGTTCTGAACACACATACACTGGAGTAGCAACAAAAGCAGGAGAGAAGTGTTGCAGGCAAATGGTAACAAAAACAAGCAAGTAAGGCACACTGAACCAATGGCTGGAAAATCAAGGTGTTTACTACGCTAGAAGAGTTTGATAACTGATGCAGTGTCTTACTACGCATATATACTCATAAGCACGTTGAGTTTAAAGGGCTAACTCCTAGTTAACATGCACACACAGCAGCGGCCCCAACAAGCAATCCCGGATGCCAGTCATCTGAAGAGAGGTGTGCCCTTGCTAACTGGCTCTCTGAAGGCGACGTGACACCTGCTTCGGATGGAATATCCCAGTCAAAGGGGAAGAGCAACATCCCCAGAAACACAAGAACGGCCTCGCTCACCTGGTCATACATCAGCAGTTTCTGAAGCTCATTTTTACTGATCAGAGTTTTCACCTCGTTGGCATCAGGAAGGCACAGCCTGTAGTTCAAATCTCCCAACCAGATGACAACACTGAAGGGGGGGGGGGGAAGAAAAGAAAGATCAGAGGAACTGTACCCTTGTAGCGCAGTGGTTAAACTGCTGTCCTGCAGCCAAAAACTGTGCTCACAACCCGAGGTTCAATCCCAGGTAGCCAGCTCAAGGTTGACTCAGCCTTCTATCCTTCAGAGGTCGTTAAAATGAGTACCCAGCTTGCTGAGGGGGGGGGGCGGCGGCAAAGTGTAGCCTGCATAACATGTAAATCGCCCAGAGAGTGCTGCAAGTGCTATGGGGCGGTACATAAGCAGCACACTATGCTTTTAAAAAAACCCACCAGCAGGGGAGTCAGGGAAAAAGAATCTCCTGATATAAAGCTTCAGCTGTCCTGGCTTCTGGTCTGTTTGCAAGCACTACTTAGTCTACCGACTCAGGAAATGGGTATAAAGCATAGTGTTTGAATAGCGCTTGCTTATTAATTAATTAATTAGAAAGATGGTAACCTTAAAAGGTGTTCAAGGCTTGAGACCAGGCTATAAGAACCAGCATCTGACTCTACGTATCACTGCCCCTACACCTAAAACAGAAACAGAGAACCTGTGGTCTATTAGATGTTGTTGAATGACCAGGACCCATCATCCTTCACTACAAACTAGCGAGGAACACAGCTTCCCCAGCTGCCCACCGTTGCTTCGGATCTGCCTACCTCGAGCAAAGCTAAGATCGTTTTACTGAAGGCCCCGTGGCTGAAGCTGGGCAGCTGCTGAACTCAAAACCTGAGCAGCAAAGCGACCTGCACCAGAAGGCCATCGGAACAGGATCCGGCCTGTCTCTTCAGATTGCGAAGACATCAACAGGAGAGCCCCGCCTTCCCTAACCTGGCACCTTCTATGCATTTCGAACTTCCGTTTCTATCCCTGCTGTCCCAAAGGAACAATGATCAGGAACGTCGGTGGGCTGCCGTCCACCTCACCTTGAGGGCACCGGGGTGTGTGTGTGTGTGTGTGTGTGTGTGAGTGTGTGTGTGTGTGTGTGAGTGAGAGAGAGAGAGAGAGAGAGAGAGAAAGAGAGATTTGCACTCTTTCTAAATAGCAGAGATGGG